CGGCAAAAGCAGGCGTATGTGACGCACAATCATGAATGTGAAGGCGGTCGGCTGCCAATTCAACGACAAAACACGAGCAGCGACAATAGTAGTCATATACTCCACACCCGTCAAATCGTGACTCCAAAAGATGTTCCAGACAGAGCCCCTGGCAGCTCAGAATTCTTAACAGCTGAACCTGCTGTGGGCGGTAGAATGGTCATTCGATCTCGTTAATGGTGATGTGTGTCATCTGAAGACGGCATTGAGCTCTTAACGCACGCTCGGATGAGGAAGTGATGTGTGTCATCTGAAGACGGCATTGAGCTCTTAACGCACGCTCGGATGAGGAGGTGATGTGTGTCATCTGAAGACGGCATTGAGCTCTTAACGCACGCTCGGATGAGGAGGTGATGTGTGTCATCTGAAGACGGCACTGAGCTCTTAACGCACGCTCGGATGAGGAGGTGATGTGTGTCATCTGAAGACGGCATTGAGCTCTTAACGCACGCTCGGATGAGGAGGTGATGTGTCATCTGAAGACGGCATTGAGCTCTTAACGCACGCTCGGATGAGGAGGTGATGTGTGCCATCTGAAGACGGCATTGAGCTCTTAACGCACGCTCGGATGAGGAGGTGATGTGTGCCATCTGAAGACGGCATTGAGCTCTTAACGCACGCTCGGATGAGGAGGTGATGTGTGTCATCTGAAGACGGCATTGAGTCTGAAGACGGCATTGAGCTCTTAACGCACGCCCGGATGAGGAAGTCAATTTGACCCCTCGCCCCGTACGTTTTTTTTAAATGGTTTCCGAACGGCACTACGTGGCCACGCGAAATTTTCCACAGGCGTGGACAATTGAATGGCATATCGTTTTATGAACAAAAATTTAGATGTACCTCGTAGGGTAACTGACCTATAGCAGGTCAAATTCAGGCCATGGACTCAGCGAAGAAAATTGTTAGGTACCTAGGGGGTATGAAAGTCAAACCAAAGTAAAAACCAGCCTGCTTTATTACTTAAGAACATATTGTGTGGGGTAGTTGCTGGTGCTCATTTGAAATTTATTGATAACAGGAACCGCATCAGACATTTTCCGTGGACTTCTTAAAGGTCAGAATGGGTCACTGACTTAAAATGATTCCCGTCAACATTTTGTTTTTAGGAACATGGGGCTGGCGTAATCTTTGACGTTTATTCAAATGTAACACTCAATATGATTTTGGTCACCACGCCCTACGAAAGGTCAAAACGATCATTGACCTTAAATGAGCACCAAATAGCTTTTGCTTCGAACAGGTTTCTATGTTCCAAGGAGCACTTTGGACATAAATCTTGAGTTTGACCATGTGCGACGTTATTTGACCCAAAGGTCATGATCTAGGAACCTCAAATTGTGACACAGGTAAAGTTTTGCCTGATTGTCCACGTGAACGTAGTTATTGAGGTTACCCCAAAGCACGAAGTCCAGGGGCTACGGACAGGTCGGGCTAGTGAGAAGACACAGCACAGCAGTCTTAGGCTGGTGTGCATACAGTGAAAGTGCCCCATCAACAAATTCAATGAAGTCCGTGCCGTGTGCGGTGTCACCTGCTGGAGCGAGTCGTCGCGCCGGAGCGAAATGATTCCCGAACCAATCCAGCGAAGTCCGTGCCGTGTACGGTGTCAACCTGTCCTGCTGGAGGCACTCCTCGTCCCGATCGATCCTGTGAAGTCTCCCCAGGGCCGCCGAGAAGGGTGTCACAGCGGTGGCGATGTACGATCTGGGGTGGTGTTGACAGGATCGTCTCGTTCTTATTCTCAAAGAAGCATCATTTTTAGAGTTCCGATTTGACGAGTGTGAAGTCACAGATAAATACCAATGTTTGTTTTGATCGCATTTTACGATTGAGTGGTCATTTAAATGCCCCCACGGTCGTCATTGTGCGAGAAATAGATTCGTCACTGCAGACTTTACGCATGCTTACTTTCAACTTGCTATGTATTGCATTGTTATTCTTGAAAGGCTATTTTCGTTGTAGCCATCGGGCGTGCATAGTTGTAGCGCGTTATGAACGAGCTTTTAAAGATTTGTTTGGAAGCTTTTGATTGGATATATTTCTGAGATGAGCGCCCACGCTAAGCAGTGCTGGTTGGACGAGCCCTGACCCCACCATCCGATCGTGAAACTCCTGGTTTACTGAACGTCGATGATTTTCAACATGTGAACTTCCGACTCACAACGCCGAAACACCAACAGTCCAAGGCCTCTCTGGCGTATGTCAGCTCCTGGCAGGTGTCAAAGCGTGGATCGCGCCATTTCCTAACGCGGCCGCCCTGGTGACCAGCCTGGTTACCGGCCTTTACCTACCCCATGTCTTTCCAGTTGTCGACATGTCTGCTGAGGTAGTGCAAGCTCAGCTTCACGGTTACATATGGGTATGTCCTGGCAGTGCACACGAACGGTTTTACATGGCCTGTAGTCTGTACGTGTCACGCGTGACCATTCTGCCTAAAACCGTCTTTCATTGCGCCTCAGTTCATCTTTGATGAGTGAAGACCATCACCTGTTTGGCTTAATCACAACCGGTAAATTTACCAGGACGTTTTCTGTGATTATATCCTATTCCAAGCCTTCACAAAAATGCAGCTTCACATTGGCCTCAAACGGAAAGTTCCTTAGCAGCAAAGCAATTGTGTGGTCGACCAAATATTAATCCAGTTTTTCCAGTTCCGAGGAGAACTCATTTTGGGGAGAGAATGTAAGCTCGACGTCGTCGGCTCAGCCGCCCTCTAACCAAATTTCAGAGAGTGACATCCCTGTACTCGACCCAAGGACAGGGGAATTAGCTGTAATGGTGATTCGAACTTTCTTATTGTCTCGGATACCACCACACAGCTGTATGTACTCGTCTGAAACTCGGTGGTGACGTCAGCCTGAAAAGCTCGAAATTAATTGCCTTTGCTGACCGCCACGGGCTGAATTTGACCTGTTACAGGCTTGAGAGAGAGAGGGAGAGAGAGAGAGAGAGGGAGGAGGAAGAGAGAGAGGGAGAGAGAGAGAGAGAGAGAGAGAGAGAGAGAGAGAGAGAGAGAGAGAGAGAGAGAGAGAGAGAGAGAGGGGAGGAGGGAGAGAGAGAGGGAGAGAGAGAGGGATAGGGAGAGGGAGAGGGCAAGGGAAAGGAAATGGGAGAGGGAAAGGGAGGAAATATATATATATATATATATATATATATATATATATATATATATATATATGCTGTTGTTTTACATCAAAATATCGGCTATGTGATTCCCTACAGCTGAACAAAGTTTGGTGGGGCTAAACCCCAGCGTCTGAAAGTTCTTCAAGTAATACTTTAGAGCGACTAGATTGACCATCTCCCATCCGAGCGTGTGCTAATCAGTTATGTCCTTGGATAACAATGGAATAAACTTCCACAGAGTGGGGGCAGGCTTAGAAGCCTTCTTAGGACAAAGGATATAGACATACGACATACGACCACAATCAGGCCATGTTTGATATGGTTTTGCCTCACCCAAGAGACTTTGGTCCACAATCCTCCAGGGATGTCCAGCTGTCTGCTAGTTATGGTCAAAATTTACAGGCGTGCAATTGTGTTGCGTTCTCTGTTTTCAATCCGTTCTTGATCAAATCATGTCCATGTATTACTTGATGTTACTTTCAGCTTTCAAGCGTGACTAAGGTGAAACACGGAAGGCTGCTGGGTGCTCGCTGTTCCTGCCTGCTTGGTCGGGGTATCCTGACCAGCGGCTTCTGTAAGCTAGGTCCTTATGCCATACGATCGGACACTGCCTCGTTTCGAGGCTTCTGAGTATAAGTATCTGAGTATACGTATAAGCTCGAAAATGCTTTTTTGGACCGGATCTCTGTAAATGACGTAGCTTACTTCAAACCTAGCGTAGCGCTCCAGCTCAACGCATTATCGCACCAAGGAGCGTACCAAGGAAGCCTTGTCCCCAGTGAGATACTCAGCAAGCAAGGGATGAGCGTCAGTCAAATGCCTCATAGTTAAGCGTTGAATTGCATAAATCTGATGTCTGACTTGATATGTGCACCTTTGTATTGCGGACGACTTTTTTAATAACGTACCGGAAACTGGACAGACTTGCTTGGCTCATGTTGCAACATTTCTTTTCATAAATCGCATTCAAAGCGGACTGGTCTGTCTGAAGAGCATTGTCTTGTTTCTGGTCCTTTCCCAGCGGTTTTCATCAGATGTCAGGCAAGTAACAAGGAAAAAGCATACAGACGCCTGGCCCTTTAGGATTACGCTGTTTTTTTTATAGCACACGAGCGTGACACTTGTGTTTGCAGAGTCAGCACCGGCCAAAGCGTGACGCGTGTTACACCAGCATCGGCTAGTAGTCGATCATATGATTTTCAAAACATGGATCGCTGTGTGTCATGCAACTCTGAGCAAACGTACGATTCGATATCTTTTCTAAGCTTTGAATTCCTGCTGACCGAGAGTATACATTTGCATGTTTTCAGGTGTTGTACCCCTATTAGAACGGTGGGTTGGTTTGTGTCATGTCTAGATAGCACCAGGACAAGTTATTCTAATCGCGACGGATCGCAGTCATGAGTCAGTTACCTGACGTCCAGTTTCTACAGTTCAGTGAAGGGGCGTAGTTTCGCGAAATGAGTTGGGGGGGAGGGGGCTGAGCACTGTAAAATGATGCAACTGCACTCAAATTATGCCAAAAGCGGGGTTTCTTTCCAGATTCTGCTCACCTCATTATCAAAGGTAGAAAGGGGACTTAACCCAACCGTGTGTGGCGGGGAGGGGTGCACTGTGTGTGGAAACATTTCTTGTCCGCTAGCCCAGTACTTCAGAGTGACAAAAACTTTCGTCTAAGATGTGTTGCGGTATATGTCGTATCACCTGTGCATGGGGCACGCTGTTTCAGTGATGCCACATACCGAAAATGATGCATTGACTGATTGGTTGGCATTGTCTGACCGGCAGATCGTCATGACTTATTATCATCCACACTCTTGTGCCGTGCGCTTCAGGATTACCACCTGGACATCTACCTGCGGCAGTCGTGGCACGATGAACGGCTGCGCTCCGACGCCCACCCCAGTCAGCTGTTGCTGGTCAGCCGACTGAAGGTCATCGATATGCTGTGGACGCCCGACATCTACTTCCTCAACGTTAAGGTGCTCCGAGAGCGCTGGCGACCGTTTCGAGCAGGGTTGGCGTGTCAAGCGTGTCAAGCGATCGTCGCTGCCACCGTGATATTGAAAGCTGGCATTGGGCTCCGAATTGACCAGACCGAAAGACAAGCAATAGCACGAAATTCGTCGCAAATTTTCAACACATCGGGTGCTTTTAATGTGTTTATTACCATTCATGTTCAGCGTACCTGTGTGCTCCGGCATCGTGCTGTGGCATACAGTGTGACGCTCTTAAAGCAGAATTACGCTTAACCAAAGAAATTAGAGCGTTAAGGGCCATGCAGCCAACTGTTGTATATGTGTACGGCGGCCGTTTGAGAAACATGGCGCGGGCGAAGGTGGCGTGACCTCGCTCTGCCCCGACAGGATGCCAAGTACCACGAGGTGACGTCGCCAAACGTTTTGATGCGCATCTACGGCGACGGGCGAGTGTTCTTCAGCATACGGTGGGTCAGCAGCGGCAGACGGCGCGCGGTCGCAGCCGCGTGCCGGACGCGGCCGAGGCCTCAGCGGCCCGCGGGCGCGGACGCCGCACACGTGCGGCCGGGCGCAACGCTCGGTTATCTCGGGCGCCGGCAGTTCGCGAGCATTCGGCCTGATTTTGCGCCAGCTGACGCCTGTCACGGGCGGGAGGCTGCTGGCGCCTGTGCGGCGTCTGCGCCTCGGGCGTATTCGGTGTCGCCGACGATAACAAAGCCCCCTGCGCTATTGGCAGTCAGCCGTTCAATGTGTAATTAAGGCTCGGCAGTGTTTTGCTGGTCGACGGCAGCGGCGCCGCCGCCCCGGCTCCTTCGCCCCGGTGACCTTAAGTCATAGCCGGGCTGGGGGAACTTACTTCTGGCTACAGGCCGGGCAAATAATTACCTTAAACCGGCTTATGTCATCCGGAACAAAGTAAGAGATAGGAAAAGCTGCGTTACGTTAAACGGTCTATCTTGTCCGTATTCAAAATCAGACCGTGGCGAGTTCATACGCCAATATATTCAGTGCATACAGGCACATATATAAACAATAAGCAATACAGGACAGTGCAGTGCGGAAGCCAGGGCGGCTTCACTGCCGACACCGGTTCCCCCCTTGGCTCAGCGGGTGGATCAGACCGGCATCATTGTCGCAAAAGGGAGTCCACTGGCTCTGTGGCCCTGGCTGCGGCCAAGGAGCCGGCTCAGCGGCCCGGCGAGACCTTGCCGTGTGGTGTATTATATTAATCCGGGAGCGTCCTACCTACAAAAACCCGAATCCCCATACAACCAGAAAAACAGTAGGTTTAGGCTAAGTTGTGCATGAAAACCCCTCGGCAAAGAGGAAGGCCTGCACATTTGCAATTGTGCAGGGAAAGCCTCGCAACATTTATATGTAACTAGGCTTGTGCTGTGCAGAAATTCGAAGAGGAGGACGAGAACGTCTGGATAGGGGTCGCCGAGAATGGTCGTGGGTGTGAGAGGGAGGCTATGTGTATTTATGTAATGTACGAGTGGCTGCCGCGCTCGTGGGCGTGTAGGACATACGAGTAGAGAGTGCTCGACGATGTGTGCACTATGGCAGGAGTGGCATAGGTGAGGCGGCGTTCATTCGAAAGTATATGCATGGTTATTTGGTGCGACCTATTCGGAGTCTTGTGAGTAGAGCCTCCTTCATGGCGTGTTTTGTGGCGTGCCGTTCCAGTGTGGTTTGACGAGATGTCCGAGTCCGAGTCGTGGTTTGACGGGATGCGTGGAGCACGGCGATCCCACTTACGTTGGAGAAATTGGAATTGGAACTAACGTGTGTCTGAAACTAGGCAACAAGGATGATTGCGGGTGGATAATGGCAGTGTTTGTTTCACGGCGGCATCCGCTAGATGGTTACCATGGATACCTGAGTGGCCCGGTATCCACAGAAATATGATGCTGTAAGGATGCGGAAAAGGTGACCGTGTCTGGCGGTTTTGCACTATGACTGCAGGAGGTGTGCTGCGAACAGAGACTTTTTCTTCGATGGATGAGCCAGAGTCGGTGCATATGACGGTTTGCTGTAGCTTTTGTCTTTTTATATGCCGCAGGGAAGAATGATGGTTAGTAATTCGGCAGTGTAGATGCTGTGATGACCAGAAGGCCGGTTGAATTTCTGTGGTCGTTATGTATGTATGTATATACATACAATACATATACATATATATGTATATATATATATGATCTATAGATACATACTGATTATATATATATATATATATATATATATATAAATACATACATACAAATACGTCAGTATGTATGTATGTAGGCTGTGCTCGCTTTACACCCCGCCATGACAGCGTTTACCTCCGCATGTGGCACGGTACGTCTTTTTTGTTTTCAAAGAGGAACCGAATGTTGGGATGGACTCCAGCCAGTGCGGACGTAGTGTTGGCGTGGGGAGCGTGCCTGTGTGTGGCATGCGAAGCCGCTGGCGCGCGTACTGGACTCGTGTGCCGACTGTGATGTGTTTGCGCTGTGTGATGGCCCGTGTATGAGTGTTCTTGAGTACCGTGAGTGTTTGATATGTAAGACTGTGGGCCTGCCAACAGCACGCGTGCAGAACCTTATGAGCTGCAGTTTGCGGCTGCAGGTCAGCGGGGGAACATCTGCGCGCTCCGACAGGCTGGGCATGGGGAAGGTGCGGAGGGCGCCCGTGGTGACTCGTATCGCGACATTCTGGATGGCCTCGAGAGACTCGATTTTTTGCACGAAATACCATCAACTATAAGGGCATTACAGTCCAAGATCGGTCGGATCAGGCTTATGTCCAGGCGTAAGAGGGTGCGGCTGTCGGCGCCCCACTTCCCCCGGCAAGACATTTTAGGATATTGAGGCGTCGTGCGCAGCGCTGCTTAAGGTCCTGGAAGTGGGAGACGAAGACGATCTTCTAGTGTGATGCTTGTCGCCAGGGTTCAATGGGGTCTTCGGAGCAACGCGAACGGGGCTTCTGGAGAAAATGGGAGTTGCTGATTTAGATGGAGAAGTCACGAGGCCCAACGGGTCGCACTATTCCTAGCTATGATTAAGTGCAAGGTGAATCAATTAATTTGCTCGACCAACGCCGAGATGTATGAGCCACGCGGCCAATCGTCGGCAAAGAGGGATAATTTTAGATAAGGGGATATGTAAGAATACTGTTAAATATATCGTTAATCATTATTATGAAGAGGGGTGGTGAGTTCACACTGCCCTGAGGGAGCCCATGATATTGCGCTCTCTGCACTGATCGTGATTTACCACAACGGACTGCGAATGTCCCGCCTGTCAGAAAGTTAACTGATAGTTAATAAAGACAAGTTCATAAATTTGGAGAGAGTAAAGTAAACTCCAATTTTGTGCAGTTTCATAAGATTGATTGTTTTGTTCACCTTGTCAAATGCTGCTTTGAGGGCTAGGAATAATGGAACCGCAGCCATTTTATTTCGGAGACCGCGTTGCACTGAGTCGAAAATTTGGACGAGGCTGTCCGTCATGGAGCGGCCAGAATGAAAGCTTTTTTGGAATGGGCAGAGGAGGCCATTGGATTCCAGGAACACCCTGATGCAACCGTTGACCGCGCGTTCAAATAGCTTTGATGCACGGATAGTGAGAGAGATAGGACGATAGCTCGAAGGGTCGGACGAGGGCTTTCTAGGTTAAGGTATGGGGATAAGAGTGCTGAAGCGCCAGGGGTCGGGGAAGTGTCCGTTAACAAATATCGTTGTAAGCAGAGGGGAGATTTGCTAGCCCAGACCCAGTGAGATTTCGGCAAAAGAGGTACGCTAGCTGGTCTGGGCCCACCGAGGTGTTTCCACATTTGCTAAGGGCCAGCCTCATCTCGTATGGAGTGTAGGGCGTGTTAAAGGTTCCAGTGCTGTTTTAGGGTGAAGTCGTGTGCGTGAAGGGCGGCTTTGAGTATGCTGGTGAGCTGCTGTAACTATTGATCTGCGGGACTCGGTACCTTACCTTACGAGCCTCCACTTCATGAGCTACGCAAACACAACGTTCAAAAGCGAGCACGGCCAGGCGTCGCAGGGCTACCGCACGCTGGCATTCATCGTTCCACCAGGGGATATGCTTGGGGTCGCGGCGACAGTGAGGGGGTGGAATATACGGTGCGCTGAGGCTAGCAGGCTCTTAGAAAGTTATTTATGTTGAGGTCGGAATCCGACGGGCGTGCTTCATATATACATATATATATATATATTATATATATATATATATATATATATATATATATATATAATTATGGTATGCTATCCAGTCCGCTCTGCGGAGGCTCCATCTGGGGAGAAGAATGGAAATCCACTTGTCCTGAGGGACCTCTAACTACATGTGCATTAGGTAATGGCCGCTGATAAGCGGATCCGGGTGCACGTTGTATGCCAAATGTGGTGAGATGCGTGGTGTGCAGAGGGCCAGGTCAGTTACTGAGTAGGTAACGGCTCCTCCGTAGCGGTGGATGTGTGTGTTGTTGATGTAGATGCAGTCACAATTATTCATCGGTTCGTGTACTGTGATGCCTTGCCGTTGTGTACTTGTGCACCCCCACGCTCGGTGGTGAGCATTAAAATCACCTGAGATCAGGCAAGGGGAAGGAATCGGGGGAAGAGATCAGATGCTGATCAGAGGAGAAAGAGTTAGTGAGAGAGGGGTAAATGCACATGAGACTGAGGTATAGCTGTGGTAATTTTACGTTAATGACTGCAAGGTTAAGCTAAGTATCAAACTGACCTTGGTGATGAAAAGGTGGTTTGAGACATACTTTGCCGTGCCGCCACGGAGATGCGCATCACTTACGTTATCAGTGTGAAGACAGTAGCCATGGATAGTATAATTATAGATAATAAGGTACGAATCATGAAATAAGGTCTTTTGAACGGTGGCAATGAATGGCTTGTTTTTGATGATATACTCTTTAAGTTCGCTCTAATGAGATGCAATGGGTCTTGTCTTCCACTGGAGAACGAATCGAATCGAATCCGAAACAGTTCGGTGCGGGCGGGAACTCACCGCTCCAAAAGACTGCGGGAAGCCCCGGAGAGGAGCGGGCTGCTGAGGGGCTGCTGGGTGGGAAGGCCCTGCGCCCGCGCTGGCCTAGAGTGCCGGCCCCGTTTTGGGGCTAGCAGTATCGGGGCGCTGGGGCGCCTGGTGGGGCTCTGGCGGGGACCGCAGGGTGCCCGGGGCGAGGACACCGCCGCCCCGACTCCGTCGACAACGGACGTCAGGCCGTGCGGCTGTATGCAGCCATCCAGCCATCCCCGGCTCCGTCGGCAGCGGGCGTCAGGCCGTGCGGCTGTGTGCTGCCATCCAGCACGCCGCTCCCGTCCGCTCCCAGCAATATCCGTTGGCCCACCATGTGATTGTGTAGCGCTCCTCGAAAGTGGGGCAGTGGCGCACCGACCAGTGTTGCGACCAAAAGGTCAGGAGCAGTACAAAATGCTCCTATGCTTCTCGCGGAACGTTGGCACTGATCCAACACGTAACATTTAGTTATGTATGTGGAGAATGACTTGGTATACGATTTTCGTCGTGTTAAAATGCACCTTGTTTTTGACGTGACGTATCGTGACATGACGTACACTGGTGACCAGACAACAGCACCCAACGATGAGTTTGTGTCTTACTTGCATTTTAAATATCATGCAACGTTTGAGCCTGCTCCTCATCCTTGTGTGTTATTCGCTGGACAGAAGACAACAATTCTATTGAACTTCATATTCAATCTGTTTGTCCGCGATAGTTCACTCTGTTGTCTGCAATCCTACTGGAATGCGGCCACAGAAGTGGAAACAGAAGATCCTGTTGGGATATTCTGCCGATGTGTGTCGTACAGTTGTAATGGGTCTGATGGCTTCAAAATTGTAACTGACCCTACCATCCCAAACGTTAACAGGAAGCAATAGACATCTATCCTATGATGGAGATGTTTCCCACATGATTTATCTCCGATAAGTTCCCACTCTGTGATCTTCTATGCATTACCAGAGGCGATATTCTTTTCATTGAATGTTTTAACGAATTTACACACAAGATTTCAAACTCACCCGAAATTTAAAGCTTCCGTCTTGATACAAACTTGCGTGTCTGCATCTCGCTTTCATTTCACGCTAAGCTTTTGGTTACAGATTGCAGCTTACCCTATCCTGCCAAATGGACCTCAGCAAGTACCCGCTTGACACTCAGACCTGCTACATCCAGCTGGCTACGTGTAAGTATCAACTGCGTTGCGAGTCCTCATGTAAGGCTGATCAAACACACCACGGGTCTCCCGCACGTAAACAGACGTAACGGTAGCTTCACTCGCCAATATCCGTGTTCCCAGGATGCATTTCAGACCATGTCATCGCGTCAAAAACTCTCTTACCACTGCTATGGTCTACGTACCTTGCTGGCGAGTTGGACCGCCGCTGCCGAGCCCGCGGCCAGTTGCGCTGGGGGGGGGGGGGGGGGGGGGCGCGGACGGCTCCCGTCTGGCCAGATGACCTGGACCACCCGGACCGGGTCGGCCCCTCCAGATGTGAGTGGAGCGCCCTGTTGCGGCGGCGGGACGCTTGTCAGCAGTGCCGCGCTGCCAACCATGCCCAGCCGCTCGGCCGCCGCTCGGCCGCAGCGGCAGGTCGGGCCAGTCATCAGCCGCCGGCGGCGCTTGGAGCCGGGCCCAGCCCCGGAAATACCGGGCCGTGGCACGCGAGAGTGCCGCCGGCCGCCGGCCGCCGGCTCCCCGCCGCCCGGCACCGCCTCCCCGCGGCGCATCACTCTCGACGCCCGGCTCTGTTTAGATGTTCCAGCAGCGGTGCGTAAGGATGCGCGTGAGGCTGGGCTTTAGCCGGGGCTTCTGGAGCGATCGTAAACAATGTCCCAGAAGTTTGCCTCTCCCGCGGCGTGCATTTCCCAAACTTACGAGGGCCAGACGATGCGATGTTCTCGTCTTCGTGTATATGACTGTGCTCACGAGAATGTGTTCTAAGACTTCGATCACGTGTGGGGTTGTGAATAGGTTTGGTTTGGTCGTGTTTGGCAGTATGCGTATTTGTTCGTTATGGAGCATACTACCGATGTGGTTGCTTAACACGCGCCCGGGAGGCCGGCTAGATACCCTTCGCTCGGGTGAGGGGATCAATTTGACCCCCCCCCCCCTGAGATCTCGGGAACTAAGAGAGGTAGACAACAAAATTACGGTGTGTTTTGACCTGTACGTGAACTCATTCAGGTCAAAGTTTGAGCTTTCTAGGTCATGACCTATAGGTCAAATAAGGTCAAACAAGTCAAACTCCATGTCGGTCTCTAGAGTGCTCCCAGAACCTGGGCAACTGTTTCCAAACACAAGGTCACAAGCCTATTTTAGGTCAGTGACCTTGTTTGACCTTTTAAAGGTCATGGTGACCAAAATCATACACGACTGCTCTGAGTTTTGCATTTGAGTACGGAACAAAGATTACGGCAGGCAGTATGTTCCTAAAACAAAATGTCGACCCGGGTCGTCCTAGGTCAATGACCTGTTCTGACCTCTATGAAGTCAATGGGAGATGTATAATGCGGTTCCTGCTGTCAATAAATTCGAAATGAGCACCACAAACTATCCCATACTGCAAGCCCTAGAGAAATAAATCCGGTTGGTTTTGACCTTGGTCTGACCTTCATACCTGACCTTAGGTCAACGTAATTTGCTCATTCAATATTTGTGGTGGCTAATAAAGCATCTCAGAGATCTATGGCTTCGCCAAACACTCCGTGATTGTATCAGATTGGACGACTCCCTAAAAATTGCCTTCGCTGAAACCATGGCCTGACATTGATCTGCCATAGGTCAGCGACCTCACGAGGTACATCTATATTTGTAAGGCCAAACGATCCGCTATTCAATTGTTTACAGCTATGCAAAATTTGGCGCGGCTGCGCTGCGTCGTTCGGAAACCATTTTGGAAAAATCTTTAGAGGATCAATTTGACCCCCACCCGAGCGCGTGCTAAACCTCTCACATATGTGACTGTCTAGGTAGGTACTCGTATAGGTAACAGCGGTGCTGATTTTGTGCTGATTTTTCTGAAAGGTAGTTCCAGAACCGCACTAGCGGGCCGGCGCCAGTGTGCAATATCTATGCATGGGTATGGGCTTATCTATAACTAACTGGTTGGCCATAACTTATCGTTTATATAGAGAGAGAGAGAGAGAGAGAGGAGAGAGAGAGAGAGAGAGAGAGAGAGAGAGAGAGAGAGAGAGAGAGAGAGAGAGAGAGAGAGGAGAGGAGAGAGGAGAGAGAGAGAGAGAGAGAGAGAGAGAGAGAGAGAGAGAGAGAGAGAGAGAGAGAGAAGAGAGAGGAGAGAGATAGAGAGAAGAGAGAGAGAGGAGAGAGAGAGAGAAGAGAGAGAGAGAGAGAGAGAGAGAGAGAAGATAGAGAGAGAAGAGAGGAGAGAGAGAGAGAGAGAGAGAGAGAGAGAGAGAACGAGAGAGAGGAGAGAGGGAGAGAGGGAGAGAGAGAGAGACGAGACGAGAGAGTGAGGAGATAGGAGAGAGAGAGAGAGAGAGAGAGAGAGAGATGAGAGAGAGAGAGGAGAGAGAGAGAGAGATGGAGAGAGAGAGAGAGAGAGAGAGGGACGCATGCAGGAAAGGCACAGCATGGGGACCACACTTGGGGACCACCCAAAGCGGGTCATTTGCAAAAACATCGAACTCCAGTCGTCAAGACAAAAAAGTGGAAGAAGAGCGCTGAAAATTCACCAGTTTCGCATCGCTGTCCAAGGTACAATTTAAATGCCACATTTTGTTTGGATGTTTGGTCCCAACATTTTGATCGGGTGGATTTCTAGGATCAGAGCGAGAGATTACGCTAGGAAGGGCGCGCTGCGGCAGTCTTTACCCCACCATGACATTGCGAAATCCAGTTGAATGGTAGGATTTTGTGGTGTAATGTGCCGCAATGCTCGACACGCCGCCCACCCTAGGACCACATATGGACTTAAACGGCCGCTGCCGCCAGTCGCAGGCCATCTCAGTTAGTGGCAAATAGCGAGCGCTGAAGAGACTAAGCCCACTCACGCCGCCACTGCACGAGCACGTTAGGGGAAAGGCGATCTGACTAAATGGGTCGCGGGGTGGAACCGACCAACATCAGAAGTCCCGTTTGAAAACAGATGAGGAACACTTAAGAGGGCCTGAATCATTGCCAATCCCTATAAATTGATACCTGTCCATAAATTGTCGGTTTAAAATGCACGCATAGGTTGGGTAGGCGTCCCTCCAGCTGATAGACATGTATTCGTTAACAAATCAGTACCATTGGCTTTGCCAGACAGAAATATGGGGTCGAATAACAGGACCGGCCTGCCCTTAGCACTCTGTTCAGCCTCAGGTACCGGTCCCGCACCTTGTGTCGTAAATACTTGGGTCTTCGCAAGCATGTGTATCGTTTGTGGTGGTCTGCTGGTGGTATCAAACACGACATTTTGGTTTGCTACCTCGAAACAAAACTGCGAAGTTTTGATAGTCAGAGCTTGATCGGCTGCCTCTACACTTATCACTGTTGTCGTTCCAATAATATTTCTAAGTTTGGTCAGTGTGTGCGGAATTTGAACTGAACGCCTCGTTCATTTGATCAGGTGAAATGTGAAATTGCCTTGTTACACCGTGCGTCTGCACGGCGTTCTCACTTGCTCACCTCACGTTCTCAGTTGCTCACCCCACGTCGGCGCTGGTGTTTAAGTGGATGCACGGAACCAGGGCCGTAGACAGCACAGACAACATGAAGATCGCCCAGTTCAGCCTGGAGGAGCTGACTGCCGAGCCGCCCGGCATTCTCAACTACACCACCGGTGGGTGTCACAGGCAGCCCAGCGTACTGAAATAGCATCACCTGTGGGTGTCAGGAGACGCCCGGTATTCTCAACTACATCACCGGTAGGTGTCACAGACAGCCTATCATGCTGAGATAGCAACACCTGTGAGTGTCAGGAAACCTCGTTATTCTCAGCTACGCCACCGGTGTACGCCCACCGTGGGTGTCACAGGCAGCCTAGCATACTGAGATACACACCACCGGTGGGTGTCAGGAGACGGCCGGCATTCTCAACAATACCAAGGCTGGGTGTCAGAGGCAGCTTAGCGTAATGAGCTGTACACCACCGGCGTGCGGCAAGAGACGCCCGGCGCTCTTGACTCCACGACCGCTTCGTGTCATGATCCGCTCAGCATTCTCAGCAACAGCACCAGTGGATGTCACGAGCTGGTCATGATACTAGAGTTCACCAGGGATGGGTGCCATGCCCAACGTGTTCAAATATGTTATTGCGTGTTCACTGAGCTATGGCATGCAATTCAGATTCGCAGCTAATTTCTCTTGCGCTGCATAATTAAGCACTCGTGGCACAGGGTGTTGGATTGGCACCTGTGCGCTGGATCTATCAGTTTTGGGCGGCGGGTAACACGCTCTTCATCCGTCCAGGTCAGTTCAGCACGCTGTCGGCACGGTTCCGGCTGAACCGGGAGAACGGCTACCATCTGCTGCAGACGTACATCCCGACCATCATGATCGTCTCCATCTCGTGGGTGTCGTTTTGGCTGGAGCAGACGGCGACGCCGGCCAGGTGAGCACGTGCCGCCCCGGTGTCGGCCGTGACCGCGCCGCGGAGGGGGGAGCGCTCCCTCTCGCCCGGGGGCTGGTGACAACTCCGGCGCCGCTCACACATTTACAGCGCCCCTCGCAATACAATAGTGCAACAGAACATCTGCAGCCCGGCAACCGGTGCTGCGTGTCCAAGATTTCAGTCATGCTGTCTGAATTAGTCGCAGAACTGGTCCACAAGTTTCGTTTGGTTGTGATTTGCTTGATATCGCCTTTGCCGTATTGCTTCCGTTGTGACGGGAAGCTGCTTACGTGTACACCCCTAATTCAATTAAATTACGCTCAGTACAGTTTCGTGTCGGGCCACGTATCATCACGAGCCTCTCTCGTGGAGTCAAATTACAGTGAACTAAATGTGTCTACTGAATGCATCTAAACGTGTCTACTCACACTGACCTTAACAAATTCATAACTCTGACCCAAGCAGATGTTTTTCAAATGGTAAAAACCCCAAAAGATGCTGTTTAAGTGGTAAAACTCCAAACAGGCTCCAAACAAAAACCCAAACCTGTTCAAGTGGTAAAGATCCAAACAGATGCCGTTAAAATGGTAAAAGGATGTCATACCGTGGACATTGTGTAATTTACCTCAAATATTGATTTATATGGCCCGACAGGCTCTTTGCGAACCATAAGCACCTGGCGTGATGCCGTTGTTCGGCAGGCAGCTGCGGGGGAGCTCTCTGCCTGTGAAGGGACGCTGGCGTCGTTGTGGTTGTCGCAGAGCACAGCTGGGCGTTTTTTTGGGAGAGCGCCGGTAGTAGCGTTTGCGTACTATGACGCTAGAATTGCAACTATTCCGCATGGACGTAAAGTGACATCAGCAGTCCTCCATCCTTGAACTCCAATAAAAAACAACAGTTGTTCCGCAGAGTGTAGTTGGCAGCGTGATAGTTGTAGAGAGTAACGCCATCATGTGTGGATGCTCCGCAGAGTGACCCAGACATTTGGGCTGCTCCGCCGAGTGCTGCTGTCTGTATGTTTGCTCCACAGAGCGACCCAGACATTGGGCTGCCCCATCGAGTGCCGCTATCTGTATGTTCGCTCCGTAGAGTGATCTTTGAAAGTCCATTTAAAGGCCCGCCCGTCCAAAAGAGACCGTTAAAAGCGTGCGTGTTTTGCAGGGTAAAGGTCACGGGCCGGCTGTTACGCACGGCGACGCTCACAGCACGGTCTCTCCTCACAGGAAGGCTGGGAGCATTTGCAGCGGCATTTAATACTGCGATGCTGTGGAAGTGCTGGTCTGAAAGAACCAGGAAAGCTAAAAAAAACATGATTAAGACCCAGCTGATTTACACAAATGGCCAGCATAGATGAAATGACATTGACTGAAGTGCCCCATGTCACTTTCACCAAAATGTGTCCGTGCGTGCTTCACTTGCCCACTTCACTTTCGTGTTTGCCTGCACTGGGCGGGTGCTCTTCCCAAGTTGGCAGAGGAGGCAGTCCCACAGACGCCGAGCTATCGAAACATCAGCGTTTTAGAACTACACAGAAGGCAGCATTGGATAGCTCGCAATAGAGTGCATCATGCTCGTGTCATTAATCACATGTGGAAGCAACCTTTGACGGGACAAACCACGTCAATAGCGTACAGACCGTTAATGTAAACTTCTCCTGTCTTTACACTATGTTTGCTAAACGTGTGGAACGTTGCGTTGTGTAAACATTGCGTCACATAAGTCAACGGAAAAAGAATTTTGCGTTTTTTTACACCTTTCGGTCTTGAAGCTAGATCAAACTGTCTCATGGGTTGAAGAGACACAGCGCATAACGCTGGAGATTTTATGAATTTTACAGATCGCCACTGTGATGCAGGGCATGTTCTTCATCTCAGTGCAGCAATGACCTTAAGAGCTTCATGGTTTGTCGCCTTGCTGGTCGAGTGACGCAATGCTGGCAGAGCCAGATGCCTTTCGGGCTCCTCTGCCTTCAGCTGTAAAGAGTCGGGGCCGGTTGGAGACGGCGCGCGGGCCCGGTCACTGCTGGGCTGGGCCCGGCGGGCCTCGGATGTGTGCTAGCTGTGTGGTACCCATGGGGACATCTGATGATGTGCGGGGGATTGCTGCGGTCGCTACAGATGGCGTGCGAAACAATATGTGTCAGGGAGAGCAGACCAGCCATTTATCAAGCTGTTGATCTTGGCTTGGTGCTTCTTGATGAGGGCTTCTGTGATTTATCGTGCTCACCTCTGGGGAGCATGCGAGTGCGCCACCGGCTTCACGAGATTTTGAGCGCTTAGAGCGCTCAGGGGTTTCTCAGGGGCTATGGTGCAGCCGGGTTTCGAACACGGACCCCTATGTGAGAGTCAAAGGCGCTAACCCCTCGGCTATCTCGCCCTGGCAAGAAAAAATTGCCATCTCGTATATTTGGAACTTTTGTGTTCGTATTTGTTTGGTCGCGTCATTATCCACTCTAAGCTGCCAACGGCCGCACCCAGTTTTGTTATGAACACAAATTTTTCTGGTATCTGCTCTCCGCGAAGGTTTTATCATAAACGATGTTTGGTGTATCTAAGAATGTGACTGAAATGGCCTGTCACCAACCAGTAATATGCGTGGGTTACTTTTTAGCATTTCCATCCGTTGGCCATTAAAGTGTAAAACATAATTATCATTTCGACGAATAACAACTTTTTTCGTAACGCCAAGACGGAACGACCGCCTCGTGCGTCAGGCTTTTGCGTGTCCATAATCGGTTATATATTTGCGTATTGCCAAACTTTACTCCACTCACCCTCTGGCCCTGCCCTTATCATTTGCGCTGGTTCGATTACGAGCATATTCAACTGCTAATGTTGCTGCGCTACACACATATTTGCCTGATGGTAATGCATTTTACTGACGGAATCGTTCAATGTAAGGTGCACATTAGCTCTTAGCCTTCTTTCAAGCGCCTACAATTGAAAAAAGCGGGCTGAAGGAGTGACGAACCCTGCTCATTTCCTGCGACGATCTGAAGTATGGTCGGGGGCGCAGCAGATCATGGTGAGAGAGGGGCACCGCGGTTAACATAAGGCCCCTGCTGGTGGAAGGGCAACAGGAAATCCAATCCTGCCGAAATTATCCAAAACTGAGCTGCCGGATAAGGCAGTTAGCCGAGGCCTTCAGAGGGACACATCATACACCGGTCCCATCCCTGATGCGGCAGGCCCTCTAACCTGGACATCCGGCACAACATCGACACAGGGGCTGTCACTGACGCAAAAGGATCCCTTGCTGGTGTAGGGATCCAAATTGTCACGACTGACACCAAGACGCCATTTCGACAGGGGGCCCTTCGTTCGGCACTACGATCTCTGACTGGCACAGGCCACTGTCTCATTGTGAGTGCGAACACCTGGATCGTCCTTTCTCATGTTTCTTTCTCCCTTTTTCTTTATCTTTCCCATTCTTTCATTTTCAGGAGGGTCTTGAGCAGGGTGAGAGGCCTTTTGAAGCTCGGGGTCTCGCTCTCGTCTCTGTTCAGCCAATGTACTACCCCGACTTGGCGCCCATTGCCCACACAGGATCCCCTGTAAGACACTGTCGCCTGTGAGCTCCTGAGTGACGCTGACACTGTGACCTGTGTCCTGGTCCCCAGAGTGACGCTGACACTGTGACCTGTGTCCTGGTCCCCGGAGTGACGCTGACACTGTGACCTGTCGCCTGTGAGCCCCTGAGTGACGCTGACACTGTGACCTGTGGCCTGGCCCCCAGAGTGACGCTGACACTGTGACCTGTGGCCTGTGAGCCCCTGAGTGACGCTGACACTGTGACCTGTGGCCTGTGAGCCCCTGAGTGACGCTGACACTGTGACCTGTGGCCTGGTCCCCAGAGTGACGCTGGGAGTGACCACGCTGCTGACTTTGACGTCACTGGCAGCCGGCGTACGCAGCGAGTTGCCCCCTGTCTCCTACCTCAAGGTACGTGTGGTGGAGAGCCCCCGAGCGGCATGTACAAATAATTAGCTAGTTTTGAATGGCACACACCCAACATAACGTAGTTTTGTAAATAAAGCATTTTTCGCAACCAGTATGGGATGCGTTTGAAGTTAGATATGCAATACGTACAGAGAGCACATACATGCACAATTAACCATGGTGCATTGAAGGAGACGGGCGTCTGGGGCAAGTGTCCCCTAATGACAGTTTGACGCGTCTTGATATGTATATGAATCAATATTGGCTATAAGATTCTAGAATACACGGGAAACAAATAGTCAAAATGATGCAATGCTGTCAAAAGAAATTTTCCGCGGCTGCCTCGCGCTAAACGGCATTTTTGGAAAAGTTGATTGATGGAGGAACAGTAACCAAACGTATTACGGCAAATTTTGAATGGAGGCCGAAACAGACAAAAGTTTTGCCTTTAAGACATCAACAGGGAAATGTTTCGAATAAAGAAATGTCACAAAAACTAGCACAAGTAAAAAACACGAGTTTTATGCATCCTAGACAATCTCGTTGAAAAAGGCTTGAGACATGAACAATTTTACCTATGCGCAGCAACACGTAGGACCAATAAATGGTCACCTAGGATGGACAGGCGCTAGGCAAACCTCACTGAGAGCGTAGAAAATGTAACAGAGTGGACACTTATAGGAATGTGTGGTACAAGCTGCCACGACGAGGCAGTGTGTTCGAGTCTGGTTTATGTTGACAAATGGCCATTTATTTGATAATCTTTAGTTTAACCTCATTTTTGCGAGTGCGCAGACCTTTGAGGGTTAGGGTTTCCGGTGAGAAGGAATGTATATATTGTCGTGTAGGATGTAAACGCCGACAGGAGTACCACAAAATATTTATCGCGTCTCGAAGATGTAGTTATACCTGGCACGTACGTAACTGCTATCCTTTCGCCATTGCGGGGGATTTTTTGCTCAAGGGGTGCCCGAATGGTACGTTGCCTGGCAGAGGGTGACGTGGGTTGCGCACCTGCCCACCACACCCGCCTGGCAGGCGTCATATGTTTGGTTACCTGGGGCAAGGGTAGGATCAAGGGCAGACTGAACAAGCTGATGTATTGTCCGCCCACTTTTCTTTTCTACTCGAACGGGAAGAACAGATGAGCATTTCACTGAACTGACTATTTTGGTTAAGCTTGTATCCATGCATGGAAACGATGTGAATGTGTTGTCGCTCATTCGATATGCATTTATGTCATCACCATCTGTCATATGGGTGCGAAGGATTGCCTTTTATCGCAGGGATAGCCAAGTACTGCCGATTCAATGGCTATTTATCGTCACAAAATCGGAACTTATGTGTTTTAATGTGTCAGTATGCATGCTTTTATGGGCCAGTCCCGTGTATGTCGGTTGCCTGGTGTATGCATAACTCATGTGTGTTAGGCTCATGCATAGATATACATATATATATATATATATATATATATATATATATATGATGTACATATGTGTCGTGCTCATGCGTAATGATCGGTCATATCTGTCATTATGTATACGTATGATGTGTCACGATATTTCATCGGTCATGTATGCTGCTGCTGTGAATTAGGCGAATGTTGGACAGCCCCAAAGCCTCTTTTCCGATCGTCGAGAGCGTACAAAACATGAGCTTTTGAATTTTACTAGCTTGTGAAGCCTTGTCGAGAAACTGAACTGATTAACACGCGCTCGAGTGGGTGTCAATTTGAGCCCACAAAGGTTTCTTCCAAAATGGTCTCCGAACAGCACGGCGTAGCCGCGCTAAATTTTGTGCAGCTGTCGGCAATTATTAGTGGATCGTTTGATATAAGAAATTTATATGTGCCTGGTAAGGTCGCTGACCTACGAGAGGTCAAAGTCAGGCCATGGATTCAGCGAAAACAATTTCTAGGGAATCGTTCAATCTGATGGAAGAACGGAGTGTTAGACGAGGTCATACATCTCTGAGATAGTTTCTTAGGGAACGCAACAATTGATTGAACAAACTCCATTGACCTTGGGTCAAGTATGAAGGTTGAACCAAATTCTAAACAAATCTGCTTTGTTACCTTAGATCTTGCTGTATGGGGTAGTTTCTGGCGCTCATTTCGAATCTAGTGATAACATGAACCACATTATACATATTCTACGGACTTATTAAAGAGCAGGAAAGGTCACTGATCTTAAATGACCCAGGTCGACATTTTATATTTGGGAACATACTGCCTACCTTCATCTTTGACGCTTGCTCAAACATAAAACTCAAAGCAGTCTTGTATCATTTTGGTCACCATGACCTGCGAAAGGTCACTTCCCTGAAATGGGCACCACTGACCTTTTTCTCAGAACATTTATCTAGGTTTTGAGCATACTTTGAGCACCAATTTGTAGTGCGACCTTTTTTGACCTTATCTGACACACTGATTAAGAAATACGGGTCAAGCATCTGCTCTGTCAATGACGCCGATTGCCGTTAGAATGACGCAAATGTCGCGAGACTTTTTATTGGCCTTCATCCATCAATCAATTTCTTTATCGAGTGTTAGCTTTGCGCTCAACAGGCTTGAGCACCGGTATTGAGTGGACCGGTTTTAGTCCTTGCAATGTTGCCAGGAGTGACGAGCCTCCTTTGATGAGGATCAGTAGCCCGCATGCCTCGCACCATTACGGTTATTGAATGAGTCCTGCCAGCGTCGTTAACGGTTGAGCACACAAAGCTTATCCATTGCGAGCGTTTGAAGAGCATGACGTCTTTAAAGCAGCTTAAGCTTCGGTGAATAATTTGAAATGCGAGTTCCGGGCCGCAGAAGCGGAGGGCCAGCCAACCAACCAGGATCTGGGTGTCGCTAAGTCTGCGATATTCTTTTGAAGTTGAAGTGTACATGTGGTACACGAAAAAAACAGACTCCATAAAAAGTTCACATTCTGAACTAGCCCTTACCAAGCCCTCAGCATGCAGCAATTAACTCTGTTTTCCTAAAATTCGAAGAATTAGCGCCATACTATATGCGTCTATGAAATGAGCACTGCTAGACAGCACTTCGCAGCCTCAGGGGCGGGGAAATGCGTGGGGGAGCGTCCACCATCGGCTCCTGGGAGGCGCTCAAATCTGTTTTGGGACAAATTCCAAATTTTGATGACACTTGTTGATGCCACTTGTAATGAGATTAGTGAAGGATAGTGCAAGTTTGGTTTCTTTTCGTCATCTTTTGGGGGCGGGATTGCATGACCTAGTTAGACCTCCTTCAATATGCATCAACTTACGTTTTTGGGTACTAGTGGTTTGCCTTCTTTTTGAAGGCATCCTTTGAGCTTATGCCTCCAGGTCTGCACCGAATCCAGCCGAACTTTGTGTTGTTCAACCACAACATGCGGGAATCACTTGAGTGGCACGGTCGTACTCACAGGTGTCTTTCCTGAATGCTTACTGGTAGCCCCTACCACTGATTCCACGGTTCGCTGTCGTCTTACGGGATGTGGCTGCGTGTTGCCTCTAGCTCTCTTGGTTTTCGGGATCTGAGGAGCCTTTCAGACGCCTCCCCCCTCATACGGCAAGGGTAAAAAGCTTTTAAAAAAGAGGGCATTTTATTTTAGCCCACTTACTCTCGAGCATGAGTTTCACTGAATAAGCTTTAATGCATAAAAACTGGCTAAGCAATGCGGCGTGAGCCGACTGGTAAGCCTGCCCTGAGTAATCAGCATGGCAGGTCGAAGCGGTCTAACAGGCCACAGCAGCATGACAGGTCATGCCAGCATGACAGTCCACATCAGCATGACAGAGCGTGCCAACATGACAGTCCACATCAGCATGACAGTCCACATCAACAGACTTGCAGCAACTCATGTGTAGTGGTGGTGTTTCGAAAACATGGAGGAAATATGTGGGCCTGCTGACCATCATTCTATGCTTATAGGCGCTGGGAAATCCGCATGCTTTCCGCTCTTTCCTATCAACCTAAACACGGGAATATACTGGTCCATTAGAAGTTTCCGACTTTGCGCATACACGTGAAACAAATGTCCACATTGTAAAATTCAATACCGCTGTGCTAGAAAATACCTAGAGGGGAAAATGACAATTTTTTTAACCGCCTATCAATAATATATGCCTGCATTATTAGCCAGATTGAGTGACTTTAAGAATGAAGTACAATTTATGTTCGGCGAAAACAATTTAGTACAGCGACGCGTCGCAAGATAATACTGGATTCATACAGTGTTGCATTAAGCTGATTGAACATGGTATGGAGCGTTTTGTTAGATTGGCTTTTTCAATAAAGTAAGATAAGTACATCACGAGTGTTGTATATCAAAACGTAGGTTGCGGTCGTCCAGCCATCATAAGGTTTTTTCCGGCTTTCGATGGCCACGTAACTGTCCGATGATACCTAATTGTCCGATAACCACCAGCGTCGCAGTCTCCATGCAGCTTGTGTGCGCGCGATGAATATAACAGGTTCTCCATTTTCATGAGATGTAATGGTTCTTCGGAATATGATCGCACATTCCCCGAGAGCTGGAGTGAAACCACTGCCACTTTGTTCGCTCCGAAATTCACAAGCAGATCATCATGCTAAAGATGCATGTACTTACCTAACCAGACAGAAGTAATATTCCAACTGGTGCATATGCTTCTTCAATAAGAAAACATTTTATTTGTTGGTTGGCTAGAGTCCACAGATCAACAATGAGATAACGCAGCACGAAGCCTGCGTATTGCGGCGCTTGAGAGGCCCAGGCCACAGAAAGCATGATATCGTACAGTTGCCTTCAAGCGTGACGTTTTCCATCAGACGTTCTCAGTAGCCGGTCATCATTAACAGGTAGTATGCTGAAGATAAAAGACTGCTTAGCTCAGCCATTCCGTCCCTGCTGTTTCCTCTTTCAGCGTCGGTGTTGATAGAATGTGTCCTCCTTTGGAAGAGGGGAAGATCCCTTCTTCAAATGCTCGATAAGCAGGTGTGCGTTCATGTATACATGCACCAGTTCATCAGACTTTGTCATGGTAAAAGAACGCCCTATGTCTGTTCCGTGCGGCGAATGCTGCCTTTTTCGACCGTGGGTCGTTGCCGATTCTGACCACTGTGCTGATTTATCGTGAACCTTATATTCAAGTTTCTGACTTATCGGTTATCAGCAGCCACAAATGCTGCATTGCATATATGCATGGATTGGCTTTTCAGCTCCGCCGGACCGCAGGCATCATTTCCGTATCATATATGCAGAGCTATGACAGGACTGTACCGAGTCAGAACTATGCGCGATTTTGCTGTCCAGCGTCCGATCGTCATTGGTGGACGTTTGTGTGTTCTAAGGAGCTCTCATTAGTCACAGCAACGGTCTCTCCTCCTCACAGGTGACCGCGTCCGAGCAGTGGTGACTGCCTTCGGGCCTAACGACGACGTCCTTGCCTCACAGGTGACCGCGTCCGAGCAGTGGTGACTGCCTTCGGGCCTAACGGTGACGTCCTTGCCTCACAGGTGACTGCGTCCGAGCAGTGGTGACTGCCTTCGGGCCTAACGACGACGTCCTTGCCTCACAGGTGACCGCGCCCGAGCGGTGATGGCTGCCTTCGGGCCTAACGGTGACGTCCTTGCCTCACAGGTGACCGCGTCCGAGCAGTGGTGACTGCTTTCGGGCCTGACGACGACGTCCTTGCCTCACAGGTGACCGCGTCCGAACAGTGGTGACTGCCTTCGGGCCTAACGGTGACGTCCTTGCCTGACAGGTGACCGCGTCCGAGCAATGGTGACTGCCTTCGGGCCTAACGACAACGTCCTTGCCTCACAGGTGACCGCGTCCGAGCAGTGGTGACTGCTTTCGGGCCTGACGACGACGTCCTTGCCTCACAGGTGACCGCGTCCGAACAGTGGTGACTGCCTTCGGGCCTAACGACGACGTCCTTGCCTCACAGGTGACCGCGCCCGAGCAGTGGTGGCTGCCCTCGGGCCTAACGGTGAAGCCTCGCCCCATGGGGACTGCGCCTGAGCAGTGGTGGGTGGCTGCCATCGGGCCTAACGATGTGTGCTCTGCCCCCAGGCGATCGATGTGTGGATCGGCGTGTGCATGTTTTTCGTGTTCGGCGCTCTCCTGGAGTTCGTGCTGGTGCACCACCTGGCCAAGAAGCGCAAGTTCCCCGGTCGCCAACGCAAGAGCGTCAAGGAGATGTTCTTCTCCAGCGACGACCCAGAGCCAGGGCAGTCCGGCGCCAAGAAGCAGACCCACGTGGCGCAAGCCAAAGTCGTGGACAGGGTGTGCCGCGTGCTCATGCCATTCGCGTTCATCACCTTCAATGTTATCTATTGGACCTACTACGGCCTCGGCTAGGATGCGGTATGGCAGGTGGTGGCCGCCGGTGGCGATGGCGGCGACATGCGCGCTTCGATGACGGGTAGCTGACGTGGAGGGTGCAGGCGTGGATGGCGTTGGACCGGGAGGACGGCTGACGAGGTGTTTCGCTGTGCGGTGATAATGGACGAGGCCCCGGTGGCCGTTGTCAGCAGCGGCGTAGCACGGCCTCGGGAACCAGTTGGCAGCTGCTCATATTCACCCGAGCACCTGACAGCATTCAGAAACTGGAAGCAAGGCACTCAAAGTTCGTTTGGAAGCAGGCATCGGTGTGACATGAGGGACTTCTAGCAGCCAACAACGGCGGATTTTCGGAAGAGATGGGAGGGCAAGCCCAATTGTGACATAACGTCTTTCCATGTATCTCCGCATGGTTGGTGTTAACCCTCTAGAGATGCGGCTCTCCCTCGTCGTTTCCCCTCCAATGATACCGTTCCTGATCACTTCGAACGATTATATAATGTTTTTCCACACTGACTTTCGCCCTTTGAAATCGCACATTAGCAGCTCTCCTGGATACCTCTCCGAATTAGCCTGCTTATGCTTGTTATGCCTGCATGATATGAGGTGGCGAGTAGGTGCTGGGTCTTATTTGCCCGACCTATTAAGGCCCTTGGAGCATGAATTAAGGCATATTTCGCATTCGTATCTCCACCGGCTGTACATCAGAAACGCAAATGTTCCGGGCTGCGAGTTTGCTGAATCGACTCAGGAACAATTGTGCGGCGCTTGACACCCGCTGTCAGATGCTAGCTACTGCTTCAGACCTCACCTTCCTTCCCCTTACCGGCTGTAGACCTGGCTACATCCTGCTGGCTATTGCTCTATTATCGCGCTGGTATCTAAAGGCCATCAGTGCTACCAGTGGACTTACACTCGATATTTTGCATGCTGCCATAGCCTAGTCTGCTTAGAAGGGTGTTGGAAATGTTTGCCTTGCCACCAACATGGAAACCACCTTTTCTGCGAAACGTACGGTATTTAAAGCCTGTGATGTTTCAAACCATTTGCGGTCGGATCAACCATCTGTTTGTCCCATTATTGTCATCAAGTGTCCTTTTCGCAATGTGTAAAATGTTTGCGAGACTAAGATGGTCCAATCTGTTCGAATGCGTTGGTATAAATAACTTTTGCACGAAGTGTCCCCATAAACATCCCACGCTCCGTGTTCGCCGCTTGAAATTATATCTTATGATTCAACATATAATATAAATTTAAAACTCGCCTGAACAGGACACACGCGCCGAAATATAGTGAACTTTGCGGCTTATTTATTGTATTTCATTCATGTCTGGGAATGCAGTGGAGAGTGTGCGGTATCGCATTTGCGGCGATCAAGAAATTAGACACCTGACTCGGTGAGTTAGAAGGAACAGCCAGCTTCTCGCAGCTCGACATCGTGCGAGGGACAAACTATGTGACACGAGGCCGGCTTGTCATTTACATCGTTTCACCTGTAGAAGTATTATCATGACACACTACTGTTTCAATTCATCATGCCCCATAAACACACCAGCTAATGACCCTACACATTTCCATCATGTCCGTTATGTGGGCCCAAGTGCTATTCCGTGCTAACGTGTTGTCGAGTGATGTATTCCAACATACCCGCTGTGCCAGCCCTTTAGCACGTTCATGCCAAATATATGCTCAATTGGACGCCTGTGTGGATAGCAAGTTTAACAAAATCAATTAATAAAATACTATGTTAGAGGAGTTCCCCATAACTTAACAAGCTTGTTCAGGAGTTGACATCCAGAACTTTGCCGACTGCTGTTGCTCATTCTCAGTTAGGCTAAAAGGCATGCTGCAGCATACGCGTTCGCTGATGCGATCGCGTGGAACCTCGACCTCAGAAGGCATCAGTATACGCTTTCACGCCTCTGTCAGCATAGCTAGGCAGCCATTCGATGATGGTTGCAAAATGATGTCATGCGGTTATTGAGCGATAAGTTAAGAGCGATGATATAAATTAAGTTAAGATAAGAGCCGCTCGTTCCGGAGGACTTGGCCTGCAGCTGCTTTGTCGGCAAGTGACCCGCAGTTGTATGCACACTGTCGCAGCAACGGGTGTGCATCAGTGGTTTGTATACCGTGCATACCTAAGTACCTAGAACGAAAACCAAACAATGATATGCGTGTTGTCTGACCCATTGCAATTTCTCGGGATCCTTCGCACGTTCAGCGTTTCCAAAGCACCGTACTCAGCTGGCCATTTATTGATTGGTTATAAAAGCGAGGCAGCCATTCGTATGACAGGCTGGATGCGGCAGAAATTCAGGCGATATGCAGCAGACCCTTTCGTGAATTTGTGCCAATTTCCCGAAGTACTCAAGCATACCTACCACCACATAACCCGAGAGCATTTAGTGAATGAACCGACAGCCTGTGGCGTCGCCTCCTGGACGGTACCCGGCAGATCAGCAGATCCCAGCTATGGGATCGCGCGGATCGACGCAGTCCTCGGGTGATGCGGAGTAGGCAGATGCTGGCGGAACGACGCGGCCGTCGGCGGTCCGACGAGCACACCACAGCTGGCGGGAGCTCTGCGCCAGCTGCGGGCGACAGCTGCGCCTATCTCCGTGAATATGTGTGGCCGCCGCGGCACCGGCACCACAGACCGCTCTCGCCGGCCTCCCTGACCGCTCTCGCCGGCCTCCTTGGCCGCTTGTGTGTACCGGAGTCGTGTGTGGGGCTCGCTGTGCCATGGACGGGCTTGTGTACCTCCACGTCTATTGGCTTTAACAAGGGATTTAGGACCGTTGTGTGGGATAAAATGACGTAAAACACTGTTATAGCACTGTGGATACCCATAGCAATAAGTTAAAGGAGGTTCCACCTCCGGCTGCAGCCACGTTCGGGTAGCGACGTTAGTTAAAGCAAACATACATCGAGAGCTTCCATCCACATATGCGTCTTTCGCGCGTCCAACAACTTTGTACACGGTGCGAAAGAACGGCACGCTTGGGGCACGCATGCTGTTCTTACTCTGGAGGTACTGCATCAGCGAAGCAGCATCACGGTCAAGAAGCGGGTCATATGCGCCACCGTCACCCACCGCTGGGAGCAGGAGCGATGGCAGCTTCAGGGGCAGTTTCACAGCACTGGGCGCGGCTAACGACGGCTTCGTCTCAGCTTGGCTTCTCTGTCACACTCGCAGGCGGGCACTCGTCGGAACGGGACTATTCAGAGGGCAGGGCTGCCAGCGGACCGCCGCTGCCATCGGGTGGTGGCGCGGCGGGGCCCCCTCACTTCAGCACGCTGTAGATGGACTGGATGTAGGCGAAGACGCTCTTCCAGTCGGGCTTCTCCATGGCCACCATGTCGTCGGGCTCCAACAGAGGGAAGATGCCGGCTCTCTCGCTGACCGGTCAACAGAGCCATTGTCACGGCACGCCATGATGGGTCACGATATCTTTAAACAAGGTTCATGAGCATCCTCGGTCGCACACACACAAGTCACTTCACTCAGTACGTGAGCTAAAAGCTTTGCATCGGTGGCAAGGAATCAATAAAAAATAAGGGTAAAAATGGTCATACACCACGCTAATTTTTCTTTACAGAGCATTCCAGACGCGGGATTTTGTGCTCTGCTGGGACGCCATACAGAGGTAATCTCCCACGTTTAGGAATCACTTGCTGTTGTACAAATTTGAGGGCCTGAAAGGCAATTGTGCGAGCGGCGCGCGTCGAGCGGTATAGCGGATTTAGCAACGTTCGGCGGGTTTGACTCACTCGGCGGTTCTGAAGGCCAAGTCGAAGTTGTAGCGCCGATTTCTAGGATCCAGCTTGCTGAAGTCGAAGGCGTCCGGGAAGAAGTGATGAATGAGCGCGCAGAACGCGATGCCATCGCTCCAGCTGGTGGAGAAGTTCTCCACCTTCACTGTCTGGAAAATTCACACGGTCCGAAAGTGAAAGGATGCAGAAGCGCTGAAGGTCCGTTTCTATGCGTCTTCTTCTGCACGGTGAAACCTGAGCGTCGAAAAGCTTTGTACGATGCTTGTGATGCAGGTCAAGAAAGGCAATCCCATGCAAACCTAAGTTGAAATGTGCAGGCAACATAGCATTGAGACATAGAGACATCGCATCGAGAGTTCTTGAAAAGAACATGAAAGCGACTACGGAAAGGCTTCGCAACAACAACACTTAAGCAACTTGAATGCGTGCCGTTTGAACGCTTATGGATCAAGTGCGTCCCCTTGAAGCCTCTCGAGCAGAAACTGGGAATACAAAACGTGGGCCTTATTGGTGTCCTAAACAAAGTTTAGTTCCCCAACAGGCGCTGGACGGAGAGCAAGACAATCTGCTCTGTGTGCTGGCTCACCTTGTAGTCCCTCAGCCGGCACTGGACCCAGAACAACATGACCTCCTTGGTGCCCTGACCCTGAGGGGCGATGTCCAGCTCAAAGCCATCCCTGGAACAGTCCATTGGTTTGCTGCTATGTCTGCCCCTTCAAACGAGGTCCTAGCAGGTGTCGCGACAGTGAACATAAGCAATCCACACAGACCAGATAAAACAACAGTGGTTACACAGCCCAGCCACTCCTTGCATGCGTGTCGTAGCTTATGTGTTTACTGTGCGCGCAGTGCATATGCCGCTATGCAGTGCATCACCACAACGGCTGGGCCACTTCTTAACCCGGCTGACGGTGTATCTTAACGGCCGCTTACTAACCTCGCTACACTAATGGTGTATTTTACAAGCATCAACCAACTGGACGTCGAGAGTTCTGTTACATCCGATAATCTACCAGTCAGATCGAATGCGTTCAACGGCGGTCGGTGACGCGGTTCATTTCCGTCTTGAAAACATCGTGCTGCCGTACGCCATACGACTGGCAAAGTCTCAGTGCCCGTGAAATATCACGAACGTTACCGGAATCCGTCCGTACAAATATCATTGTGTAAAATGGCATTTGCAGCTACGTATAAAAACGGACCGCAAATATAATTTTACACGCTTATGAGTGACCTTACGTGACTGCTGTTGGTGAACTGGTGTTATCTCATCCCGCGTGATGGACACCTGTCACACATGATGATCATTTGATGAATCACGTGAGCTAAATCGCAAACAAGATGAAACAAAACAGGACTGAGTTGCTGACCATGGCATCACAAAGGGCCGCACAGGCCTTCGCTGATGACGTCATTACTCTGTGATGACCTGACATCAACATTATTGTTCGCTAGGATGTTTCAGACGGATCGCTCGACGTTTGGTAAAGTGTTGTGGACATAATGAGTTCAGTCGGAGATTTTTCATTAAATGGAGTGTTTCCAGGATTCAGGAAATTCTTAGAGACTGAACAGGGTGACGTCAACGACAGCACGAATACTGGCCCTCGGCTAGCGGATGCATACGCCCTCTGCGTCCGCGATAAGGCACACGGTGAACCGAGCTCGCTCGCGCTCATCGCCCAAGCGAATGGCAGGCACTGTGCGAGCCCGAAGCACGAGGTGGAACCGTCTGCTCTACGTGCTCCGCTCGAGGACGGAGACTGGGACGCGGTATTTCTACAACCAGAGCGCTGAACCCATATAAATATAAGAACGTCCCACCAGAATTCATTGGACCGAAATCCCGGGTATTCGCGCGCCGTCGGGGGTATTCCGGACGCCGACTTGGACTTTGAACTTTTTGACCTCGTTTGACCAAAAAATCGCGGCCTAGTGACCTGAACTTTTATCACAAATAAGGCAATATACAGGTCCATCTATCATGTGAATTAGGTGTCTCTGGCTCTTTTAGCTTTTGAAATCTCGGGGCAGTCAAAGCCCCCCTCCCCCTCCCCCACTCGAGCGCAACGCACTCAATCGGCCACCAGGGCGCGTGTTAAACTTGCAGGACGTAAACTCAATCGCTATACAACTGTTTTCCCTTTACAGGACATCTCGAAACCAGATAAAAATGCAGTCATTTAGGCGCGAGAAGGACTTGCAAGTGTACAATAAACACACATGTTATTGGCTAAGCATGCCTGGCATGTAGTTGTGACTCATGCATCATTTGAATCAAGCCAGTGAGGGTACCGATAATGAAGCGGTGGACGCGCCTGCGCTAACCACTGCGCGTCTTGGAAACCAGAGGTACGGGGTTCGGTTCTCCGCGGTGAGATTCCCTTCTCCCCCTTCCTGCCCGGGTAAGAGGCAGACGGCGCCATACAGCTTCAGCAGCTGAGTGCGTCGTAAAGTCCCAATGACACACACACACGATCACAGCAATTAAGTACCGATCAGCCTGCTTCTCTGCGTAGCACATAGCTTCACAGTAAAATACAGCAGCTGACTGCATTGTTGTACATGATTGATGACATCTCTCTTCCTTTCGGAAAAAACTCCCAACATTTGCCGCCATTGAGCTCGTTGCCCGCCAACGACCAACATGGCGCCAGTTGGCGTATTACAAAGTCGCCAGCTGGCGCTTCAGCCACATTAATCATCTCCAAAATAGCATACTCCTCGATGACTGATGACTCTCTCAAAGCTGACCGCAAACGATCTTGTGGGGTGCATAACGTGTCATTTACATTGAAAAATATGCAAACAAGCACCCTATGAGTGCAGACCCGCAACATGGACAGCCATGAATGCAATATAGGTGTAGCGGAGTTCCAACTGCTTGGCGCGATATCTATTCTGGTGACGACATAGCGCATGCCTGTACTTCTCGCGAATCCATCAAAGATAACCCTAAAGCGTCTAGTTGGCGGCACGTGCCACAGCGCCGGTAGAGAATCGGCCTACTGATGTTTATACTGACGTTCGCGTCACACAGCAATGTTCTCACGTACAATAAGCACCACCAACAGTCTTCAAATATTTTGAGTCGTCAGAGTCTAATGAATCTTCCGAATCCAACGAATCTACTCGGTAACATACCGCTCTCCTTATATGCTACTTTCACGAGGAATAACCATGACCATGGTGTATGTATATGATCTGATGAGTTACCGATGAAAAAACGTGTACCTCGCACGAGGGGTGGGATAAGGATAGGCTAAATCGATGAAAACGAACGGCGGTTTGGCGATTGGCGAAAACTGCTTGGCGATTTATAAAACTGTCCGATGTAAGAAATGTTGCATGGCTAGGCGCCAACGTTGACTTTTTAAAGGGAAATATGCAATATAATCAATGACAAAATAGTCTGTTGTTGAGAACATGAAGCCGTTATTTTAGCTTCCAGCAGATCGGTTGGCCTGATTCAAATGGCCCATTTCCCATGTCCGGTTAGACTTCTTCTGGCGGTTCCCAGACTCTTCCTCGGCTTGCGCGGGAATGGTTTCAGTACACACCACTGCACACAACCAGGCGCGGCCAGTAATGCGGCACAGGTTTACCCTGCCCGATAGCAGAGTCGTTATCTTTTGTTATTTTTTAAAAATTTATTCCGAATGGTTTGTATGGGTGACTTCGAATTCGGGGTACCTGCTAAGCATAGCTTGTTGCGTGTACCCTGAACCCACCGCCCAAACGTACCGTCCAGTTCAACAGCTAATTTTGCCTCCGCCCTTTCACCAGACAGGAATGCGGAGGGTTTTACGTGCCGCACAATGCTGCGACACGGCCGCCTCGGGTCTGGGTTGAACCTCGTTGGCCAGTTGCCAGCTGGCCTTTCCATTTCGGTCGGGTCAAACAATGCGCCCACTCTGGGACTCGTACCCAGTGCCGCTGGATTACGAGTCCAGCATCTTTCCCCAAGACCACGGAGGCGGCAAGTATCTATCGGTATCTATGTATAAACATGATTTCAAAGTGAGGTTAATTACAAGAAAGCGACAATTCAGTTTTCGATCGACGCCCTCCGCAGAGTTAAGGCAGGGATGATGGGTACGATTTCTGTAGTTGATTCTTCATCGGCCGTACTAAAAAAATGTGATTTTGCCGGTAGGCCTGAAGTCCTCTACAGCTTTCACGAGGCGTGATATAGTCGATCAGCAGACCTGGCAACCCCTCCACCCCCACCCTGCCTGACTTGGCTTGATCTGAGCTGTCCAATCCGGTGAGGTTAGGTCAGATCTGGTCAGATCTGGTCTGGTCTGGTCTGGTCTGGTCTGGTCTGGTCTGGTCTGGTACGGTCTGGTCTGGTGCCGCTAGACGAGACCAAACTAGACCAGACCGAAATCAGATCAGGCCAGACCACATCAGGCCTGACCGTATTAAACAGTTCAGGTCAGGCGAGGTCAAATATGGTTGGGTCAGGTCCGGTGGGCGATAGAGGAGAAAAGAACGGGGCAGAAACAGTACAGGACATGACAGAACAGTACAGGACAAATCAGATGGGGATCGAGCGAGACCGGTCATGATTGGCCTGGACCAAACCAGGATCGGCCAGACCTGAGGCAGGGAAAAATGAGAGAGGACCAAACACTGGCATATCGGGTGCGGGTTAATTCTGGACATTTTTCCCGGAAGATAAGAATGGGGGTCGTCATGTCCCCTGCCCTTGCCATTTTTTAAACAAAATTACGACACCTGACGTGCTGTGTAACGGCCCTATCTTTGCTGTCTGTATCCTCCCAGGTCCGTTCCTGTCAGGCCTTTTCCGTCTTCTGCTGCATGCTTCTGTCTGCCTGTGGTGCGGTCTGTGGTCGGTCTGGTGCAGGCCGGTATAGATAATCTGGTCCTGACCTGTCCAGTTGGTGCTATCCTGTCCATGTGTCGGCGACACGCAACGCGAGCAGAGATTTATCGTGATTTTGACGACACGGCCTCATCGCGCTCTATCTGTTACAACGCACTTGGTGACGTCATTTTACAACACACACTTAACGGCCATCGCCAGATTTTGTCGCCGCGCACGTTAATCGCGTGGCTGTTTGAACTAGGCATTGCGTTACCTGTGTTACCTGATTGACCTACAATCTCGCATGGTATTATTTGAGACCGCTTTTAACGCAACACCCAGATCAGTATCTTGACAGATTTGACGTAACCCACTGGGCATTGCTCACGCCTTGCACAGCCGCTCACTCCGCGCTTTGTGTGCAGATCGGCGTTGGTCAAGTGATTAACGCAGATACGTAGATGCTGCAAACACCGCGATGATTGCTTATCAACAGAGGGTAACACCACGAGGCAGGACATCGCGACTAACAGCCATGACAGCCGACCAGTCTGAGCTGGTTTTCCTCGTGACGAGCAGAGAGCGATGGTAGACCGAGATCGGATGTCATATAGATCGGATAGATAGCCCGGGATCGGATGTCATATAGATCGGATAGATAGGCCGGGATCGGATGTCATATAGATCGGATAGACAGCCCGGAATCGGATGTCATATAGATCGGATAGATAGCCCGGAATCGGATGTCATATAGATCGGATAGATAGGCCGGGATCGGATGTCATATAGATCGGATAGACAGCCCGGGATCGGATGTCACGGCCACTGTCGCGGCTGTTTCCTCCC